TAACTTCAAGCCAAGGGCTTAATGTATAACGAGTTAGTACTCTTTGTTGTAACCAAGTGTTAACTTGGAAAGCTGTAAGCCCGTATGGCATTTTGTTTTGATGTTAACATGTAATACTTATGTAATGGAACTCAATGAAATAAAGGAATGTGGTTAGTTTAATGTTATTATTTTAAGGGCATTACAAATCGTATGATAGAGAGAGTTTGAAACAGTAGGATATGAGAGAGCGACAGAGCTGGACAAAAGATTTTCAACCTAACTACTATGTAATTGTAATAGAATACAGTGTTTTTTAATAAATCAATCCAAGTGTTCTTTGGCCCAAAAGCTAAATTGTATCTTCCCCATTGATCTATTTCTCTTAGTTGTTGGTTCTTAGTGGCCAGTGTGGCAAATGAGCTGAGCTGAGCTCGTTTGTTTATCTAGCTCAAAAAAGAAAAGTTTAAGTTGATCTTGAATATTTATGCTAATTAATGCTTGAGCTCAACTCAGTTTCTTTATACTAATTATATTCAAGTTTGGTTTGAAACTTAATAATGAAGAAAAATACTAATTATGCTCGAGTTTGATAAACTCAATAAGGAACAAGTTCAGTTTGAAACTTAATAATGAAGAAAAATACTAATTATGCTCAAGTTTGGTTTGAAACTCAATAATGAAGAAAAAAAATTGACTAGAACCTTGAGTGACTCACTTATTAAATGAGCTCAAAAGATTGGTTTGACATTGTTTATATATGTAACAAACTTAGTAGAGTTGAGCTCTTATTGAGTTTATTAAACAAGTCTAAAAATTTAATTTGAACTTGCTTATATATGTAACAAACTGAGCAAGGTTGAACTTTTTATTCATAGTGTCACACCATGTAGACAACACGAGAGGGGAAATTGAGTTGATAAATATAACTTAAAATGAAATAATTCAATAAAATTAACTTGGTCAACTCAAGTAAAATAAAAGAATGAATATGTAAAACATGAGCAATAATGTGTGTGAGCAAATCAAGTCAAAGCAAAACAGAGCCGAAAGTATAAATATAAAGGAGGGAGAGAGAGAGAGAGAGATAGAAGGCAAACACAAGATTTATAGTGGTTCGGTTTCAACCCAAACCTACGTCCATTCCTCAAAGCTCCCCCTCGAGTATTTCCACTATTTATCTAATAGATTTACACTAGCAAATTTATCGAATACTTGCAAGACTTTTGCAACAAAAATTTTGTTCCAAAAATCCCAAAAAGCAAACCCACCAAAACAGCCCCTCTTTTGGTGTTACCAAATCTCTCAAGTGTCTCTCTCTCAAACACTCACAATGAAGCTCATGGGTATAACAACCCTTCACAGATGATTTGTAGAAAAAAATGCGTAAAGCATTTTGTACATTACACTCCTAAAGAGTTGGATTTAAACAATTAAAGTTCATAGAGATGATATGAAAGTTACAGTATGAAATTATTGTACTTTCTCCTCTTTTGGAGATTATCCTCTCTCTCACTTATAGATGAATGTATATCTTCAATTTATAGTCCATCATCTTCATTTGACCGTTGGAGAGCAAATATAGCCAATGGAATAGGAGAAATAGCCTTTGGAAAGATTCAAAACACACAATAACAATATGGTGAGCGCAAATGAGACAACGATGTGGTCCAATTCACATGAAGATAAGTCATATCCGAATAAAAATTATAAGAATAACCTATAAAACACATGATGGGATACAGTCACTTTATTTCTTATTTTTTGAAAAAATAATCATATGTGCCCTATTGTTATTAGGTGGTCACACCCCATATGGGTCAAGTAAAAATATCCTTAAATTATTTGAAGCTGAACGAAGTTAGGGGATTTTGATCTTTTATTTATCATCAAAATGGCAAGGGAAAAAAAAAACTAGGATGTGCTAGTGTTGTTGAATTGAGTTGAAATCTGAGAGCAAGGGTTAAAAAACAAAAATGGAGAGAATTTACGTAGCCTCTCGAGACTAGTGATTTTTTTTTTTCATATTTCGTTTTCGCCTAACTTTTGGGTTGTGAGAACTGTCCTTTTATAGAATTCTGGGTTTTAATTGTTGCCTCTTGAAACTAGAGGCTTTTACTACTTAGAGTTGTAGCCCTTTTCATATTGGGATCGGTTGTTTTTTGGGTAATCAAATACCGACTTACCAAAAATCTAAAAACATTTTTTTTTTTTTGGTGTTAAAAATGAATTGTTTTCAGAAAATTTTGAAAAAAATCATTTCCAGTAATAAATAATTGCACAAATATTTATTTTGCATTTTCCAGAAAATGAAAATAAAAATAAAAATAAAAAACATTATCAAACAGTAGTGCAACTTGTGGCAATTGCAACCACTAATCAAATGTCAAATGAATGGAACATATATACTAACCAAATATATATATCCATAGTGAAAACTTATTTTCTCCACAATACACAACATAACCTAATTATTTGCTTGGTGAACTCTTTCAAATGTAACTGTAGCATACAAAATAAAATCCTGCTAGTGATCCAAAAAAAAAAAAAAAAAAGATAAAATTTTAATAAATATTTCGCATATTCTCATACATGTTTTACATATATATCAACATTACATTTGCAACCAAAAAAAGATTACATGATATTTCCCCAATATTCAACTAAGTGAACCTGTTTTTATACAAACCACGACAGGAAGGAGCTAACTTTTGTGTTCTACACTTGAAACGAAAATCCCAGTAATATTGACAACAGAGTTTGCCGTATCATTTTTCGTATGACTCGAGAACTGCGTGAGTTTCCTTGTACCGCTGGAGCATGTAAGTTTCACATTTGATAGGAGGAAACCTGGTGGAAAAGAAGCATTAAAAAATAGAGAAACTTCACAAAAACAAAGAAGTCGAGCATATCCTTTATGCATTTTTATTAATGCAAAACGGTTTTCAATTTTAATTAGACACTAGCTCAGTAATCCAAGGAGCCTTTAAATGCATCCCAAAAATATTGTTGGACATCCCAAATTCAGTATTTTTTTTTTTCAAATTTCACTTTATTCCCTCAGAGTTTGAGACCGGATCACGTTACCCACATGTGATTTAAATATAGGCATATTTGCCCCATTATAGTTTTCGACTAAATTACAATCTAACATCCGTTAACATTAATCATCAAAAGACTATTTTACCCTTGTATGAGAAAAAAAAAACCTAATCCTCTTTATCTCTGATATTATACACTTAATTTTAAATTAATCACAAATTTTATTAATTAAACCATCTATATTTGAATCACGGACAGGTAAAGTGCTCCAAACTCAAACTACAAGGAGTAAAATTGAATTTCCCTCCCTTTTTTAATACCGTTTTACCTCTATGTCAAATTACAAAAAAAGACAAAACCCTAAACCAACGTCCATCTCCTCTTTCCTCTCCCCACTTGAGCAACTCCCCCATGGCTCCGCCCTCTGTTGCCCACCTCCTGCCCATTTTCTCTATCTCTCCCTTGGCGATTGTGAGAACCCGAATATACAAATCAAGTAAAAAATTAAATAATAATAATTTCACAATCTCAAATATTTTGATGGTGAATCCTAAAGTGCAAATTAATTATTATTGAATGATCTTTTAATTAATTTTAAACCTAAAAAAAAAAAGAAAATTAGAGAAGAGGGTGTGACTTGAACTCTAAACCACAAGGTTAATATGTAAGACTCTTACCATTTGAGTTGCATATAACTTATATATATGTTTTGTATATTTATTTATATATTTGACCTACACATGCTTTAGGTGTATCCAACCACTAGTATAAAATAAAATAAATACAAATCCTACTCTATTATTTGTTCACCACATAGGGAAACAACACATCAGCCACGGGAGAGACTTTGAGAGAAGGAAAAAAAAAACAGAAGTTGCAATCAAAGAACTTTTGGATGTGTGGTAGGGTTCTAACTTTCTTCTTTATTTTATATTTGTTTTTTATCCTTATTCTATTTTATGATTTAATTCATTGATGGGGAGGTTGTAGGTGTATATAATTTGTCTATATATATACTACTAAGAAATCTGAGGAGTTAAATTCATGTATAATGAATGGTGTAATTCTTAGTCCAAAAATTCTGTACAGAATCACAAACTTTAAAAATCAAAAAACCATATCAAACCAATGAATTTTGAACTGAAATTTTTATAGTAGATTAATTACATATTGAGTTGCATATCTGAATTCTCTCATAATTTTTGGGAGTAAAAATCCATATAAACTAATGCGTTCAAATCTGTCCAGAAAATTGGTTTTAAACAGTAAGTTCGGGAGTGTTGTTCTCTTTGGATATAAATCCAAAAATTATCAAATCAGCATCATTAGAACTGGATACGAGTCTAGTTTCGTATGTTTTTGGCCTTGCATTGATTGCTCATGTATACTAAGAGAATCATTAATTTCTTTAAAGTGCTGCAGAAAACAACCTGTTTAGATATAATTAATTGTAGATAATTATTTTGACAAGCAAATCAAGTGAAACCATTTGGGTTTGAAACTTCGGATATATTAGTTGATATCCGGAGGGTTTTAGAATTTTGCAAACAACGTGGAGTGGATTTTTTAATTTTCAAAGTTAGCGAATAGATTGGGAAAACTAGTTTAAAATTCTGTTTTATCTTAAAGTTACTTTTAATTAAGTTTCGATTTGAAGCCATGTCTTGGGTGATTTTAGACCTTGAAGAACATGAACTTAGGTAGTATTTAAGAGTAATGGTAAGTTGGGTTGAACCGTGTTAGTGCGCTTTAGTTTGGGGTTACTTAGTTCTTATTCTTTAGTATTTTTAAATTAATAGTGACGTGCAGTTTTCATACTTGGTTCAATGCACTAGTTGGACTTTCATACTCTATTCGAGGATTATATTATTTTGTTTTCAGGTGAGTAGTTGCATGCTACATATTTTTATAAATCTTCCCCTACCCTGAACTGTTGAAAAATTAAATTGTTGTTTCAGGACTAAACTGTTTTGATAAATTATTATATTATCAATGGAATCAAATTATTTCTGAAACATGTGTGAACTTGGCATACTGTAAACTATTTGTTATGGTCTCATGTTTATAATGGTGAACTACCATGTTTTGCGAAACTGATGTGTATTGATTATTGGGACCATCTGTATATTTTAGTCTAGAAAATTATTCCACTGTGTGTGGTGACTCTGGCCACTAGGGAATAGATCTGGGTTGGGCCGTGATGACTCTAGTGCTCAACGATTGTAAGGAAAAGACCTAAGTTAGGCTAGGTGACCTTCAATCAGATCGTCTTAGAGAAAAGGCCCGGGTTGCCACCCTAAGGATGACTCTTTGTTCGATGTTGGATCCAACGGGGCTTATAGCCTTGAGAACTGTGTGGCATGTTATTTGTTATTTCTTGGTACCCAGAAAATTATTGGTGTTCATGTTGTAATATGTTTAAGTGGAAAATATCATTTATCATGTTCTTGAGAGATATGAGTATTTTAACTAATGAACTGCAGAACCTTCTTTTTGAAATAGATTCCCTTTACCAAACTATATGCCAATCTAGTTTCTGTGATATATGTCTTATTTTGGAATTGATCCCTATTTTCGAAACTGTTTATACTATCCATGTTGCTACTCACTTAGCTATCAGCTGACTTAGTTGCTTACCATTTCTAGGTGTTAGAAGGAATTAGATTAGACTCATGGCGTAGCGGGGACTCAATTGCATGCACCTCTAGGACATTCATTTATATTGTTTTAGACTGTTATGTCAAGTTTGTGCATATTTATATTTATTTTTATTGAGGTTCATTTAGGATTATTTTGATATGTGGGTTGTTTATATTTTATAAGTTTGGATGGTATTGATTACGGTTGGTTTTGCCGTTTATATTTGTGGCATGACACTAGATTGAGTTTTGATTATTTATTAATGGACTATTTTATAGTTATTCAATGTGTATGGATTCATATTTAGGCATACGTGTGCCTTGAGCTAAGGCCCTGTGGGCCACGACCGACATTTGTGGTATCAGAGCTGTAGGTTTATCGAGCTACCATGTCTTGCATTTCATCGTTTAGACGACGTCCGAGTCCTTATAGTCCTTAGTAGTGTGTGGTTGAGTCAGTTTTGTTTAAACTTGTGTTGAGATTTTCTTGATTTCAGTTTGAAGGTTAAGAGTTAGCATCTAGATATCTACATGGATTGTCTATTCCTTGTGAGCCTTTGGATGTATATATTACCGTGTCTACTCTATTAGGAGAAATAGTAGTATTGGGAGATGTTTGTAGATCTTGTGAGGTAGAGATGGATAATAGAATTTTTCCAGTGAATTTGTTTTCCTTAGAGATGATTTGATGTGATTTTGAGGATGGATTGGTTGACGAAGCATCATGCCTCTATTGATTGTTTTAGAAAGAGGGTAGTTTTTGCTATGCCGAAGCAACATGAGCTTTTCTTTCAAGGAGATAGGAAAGGGTCTTCTATTTGTTTTATTTCTTCTTTTTAGGCTAACTGAATGTTGAGAAAACGGTGTCATGGTTACTTAGCTTGTGTGGTTAGTATCAAACTGCTAGAATAGAAGTTAGAGGAGTTGTCTGCAGTGAGTGAATGTGTTAATGTTTTTCCAGAGGATTTACCTAGTCTTCCTCCAAATAGTGAGGTAGAATTTTCCATTAACTTGGTCCCCAATACAACACCTATCTCTAAAGCACCCTATAGAATGGCACCGTTGGAGTTGAGGGAGTTACAAACTCAGTTACAGGAGTTGCTAGACAAAGGTTTTATTAGGCCTAGCGTCTCACCTTGGGGAGCACCTGTGTTGTTTGTGAAGAAGAATGATGGGTCTATGAGATTGTGTATTGATTATAGAGAACTGAACAAAGTCACAGCAAAGAATCGATATCCTTTGCCACGCATTGATGACCTATTTGACCAGTTACAGGGAGCTCAAGTATTCTCTACGATTGACTTGAGGTCAGGCTATCACCAATTGAAGGTAAGGGCTAAGGATGTTCTTAAGATAGCTTTTAGAACCCGTTATGGGCATTATGAGTTCTTGGTGATGCCTTTTGGTCTCACAAATGCACCAGCCGCATTCATCGATTTGATGAATATAGTATTAAACCCCAACTGGATAAATTTATGGTAGTGTTTATTGATGACATCCTAATTTTTTCGAGGAGTAAGGAGGAGCATGAGCAGCATTTGAGGGTAGTACTTTAGATCCTTTGGGAGAAGAGACTGTATACAAAATTTAAGAAGTGTAAATTCTGGTTGAGTAGTGTATCCTTTTTGGTTCATGTAGTGAGTAAAGATGGGGTATCTGTGGATAGCACGAAGGTGACAGCAATTGTTGATTGGCCACGACCTACTTCTGTGACAGAGGTACGTAGCTTTCTAGGGCTTGCTGGGTATTATAGACGGTTTGTGGAAGGATTCTCCCGTATTGCTTTGCCATTTATAAATAATCTCACCAGGAAAGGGGTAAAGTTTGAGTGGAATGATGATTGTGAGCGTAGTTTCCAAGAGTTTAAACAGAGATTGACATCAGCTCCAATCCTTGCCTTACCTACAGATGGAGGTGGTTTTGTGATTTATAGTGATGCTTCATGACAGGGTTTAGGATGTGTGCTCATACAGCTTGGGAAGGTGATTACTTATGCGTCACGACAGTTGAAAGTACATGAGAGAAACTATCCTACGCACGACTTGGAGTTAGTAACAGTGATTTTCGCTCTTAAGATCTGGCGGCATTATTTGTATGAAGAGTCATGTGAGATTTACACTGATCATAAGAATTTGAAGTATATTTTCACACAGAATGAACTAAATTTGA